TTGCATTTGCATTGTATAATTTTCCATTTGCATTGTATAATTTTTATTTGTATTGTATAATTTTCTATTTGTATTGTATAATTTTTCATTTGTATTGTATAATTTTTATTTGTATTCTATAATTTTCTATTTGTATTGTATAATTTTCATTTGTATTGTATAATTTTTATTTGTATTGTATAATTTTCCATTTGCATTGTATAATTTCTTATTTGTATTGTAAAATTTCTTATTTGTATGCGATAATTTTTCATTTGTATTGTATCCGCGGACTGTTTATTTGTTTCGTTACGAAGGATTTCATTGGTCAAGTTTCAGCCTGTATCGGGTTGAAGATGTTCCGGATGCTCAAAGCAAACTGGGCTCATATGTATTTGCTTGCTTGCTTGATTGATTATTGTTTAACGCCGAGTCGGCAATATTTCAGCCATATTTCGGCGGCATATGTATTTGCGTGCATGTTAGACGGTTATTGGATTCTAAAAAGGGAGCGCTGGTAGATGGCAAATAAATAATCTGTCCTTAGGAATGCTGATTGAGAAAATAAATAAATTGACCTTGAGTGGTGGTAACTACCCCCACCCCCAAAAAACTGAGTTTTCGGGTTTGGGCGGATTTTCTTCTTTTTGTTTTTCTCCTTGTCTCTGGTCATATTGGAAATAAATATTCTCTCCTGCGAGAGAATGAAAATAAATAATCGGATTCGACACCCCACGAGAATCAAATGGTCGTCCCTTAGCATGCACCGCAAATAGAGGAGCCGAGTTTGTGTTTGTAGAGAGTGCGCGATCGGAATTGTGGGAAGGGTACCAGACTAAGTTTGTGATGGGCACCTTTATACAGACTAAATTTTATGACCAATGACATCCTTCGTAACGAAATAAATAAACAATCCTCGGATACAATACAAATGAAAAATTATCGCATACAAATAAGAATTTATACAATACAAATAAGAAATTATACAATGCAAATGGAAAATATAGAATACAAATGAAAAATTATACAATACAAATGATTTTTTTACAACACAAATGGAAAATATAGAATACAAATAAACATTATACAATCCAAATGGAAAATTATAAAATCCAAATGGAAAATTATAGAATACAAATAAAAATTATACAATACAAATTGAAAATTATACAATACAAATGAAAAATTATACAATACAAATGAAAAATTATACAATACAAATAAAAATTATACAATACAAATGGAAAATTATACAATACAAATGGAAAAAATCGAATATTGCAACGTTTGACATGCCATATATAATCAAATGAGGATGTTCTATGAGTTGACTATATTGGCAAATAAATTTATTTATTGTACAGAGCTTAAAAGATGTAAAAACGTTACACTACAAAATCAGTCTATACTGTAAAAGCGAGAGGCACGTGCGCTTGGATCTATAGCTCAACATTACAGATAAACGAGTTTGCGTGAACTAGCTCTGTGAAACTACACAACAGTAAGAATATACCAATGAAAAAACACAATATCTCTCTACTTCCCCCCAAAATATTTAAGGGAAACCGAGAGAAAAACAGTGTATGAAAATTCACAAACAATATTGAAAGTAAATGACGAGTCGAGAAGAAAACTCTCCTCGAAAAATTGTCAACACGAGTGACAAAAACTTTTCAAGAAAAAAAAAATTTAAGGAGAAAATTTGTCTCGTGCAAAATATTTGAGATAAGATAAACAAATTTACAATTTAGAATGAGGTCGATCGTTACGGCACAAGTGACGAAAATTCAATGAGTTGAGAAAAAATGGCAATTTGCACAGGACAATATGAACCTTCAAAATTTTCGTACTAACGTTTATAAAAAAAAAAACGCTCCTACGATAAATATAACACTAAATAGTATTGAAAATGAAAATACAAAAATAATTGGACCGTGATATCACCACGTGTTCAATATAAAGTAAATGCAACTCACGAGTGAAAAAATAACATGGCAAAGAACGAGTGCACTTTAAAAGGGCCTCGGTAAAATGTGAAAAAATGAAGAATCAAATTAAGCATAATTTTTCATCTCAGATCATTAATTGATATCTAAACCATAAGATTCAACAAATTTTATCGCTGAAACTCATGAATATATAAAGAGCAAAGCCATACAATGTGGTAGGGGTCAGCCGACATTCGTTATTTTCTATAGTAAATCGGGGTAGGGCATTCATTTCAAAGCCTTTGTTTACTGTCAGCCTAACGTTGTACAAACTTGTGCAAATGACAAAAAGCGCATTATACATTTATGAAACTTGTGTGAAAGTAGGAAATTTGGCTTGTACTGAAAATATTAAAAATGTATGAAAAGTTCAATGTTTTTCCTTTAGCAAGCGAAAGCTATTTACCTGTATGACCTATGTTGAACCCACCCGTAGAATAAATTATTTAAAATATCGGTAGTCGCGTGAGTTCTACCCATGTAAACAAAGGTGCTCACTGTAAAAGATAGCCATGCACGTTTTGTATCATTATATCGAAGTCGTGCCGCATGGAGAAGTTTGTATGTATTTGGTTTTAGGAACACGGGAGGGTTAGGAGAGTTTAGTGTCGTTAAAATGTCATCATACATAAAAGCGTCAAACATTTTCAACATTCATGCAAGACAATGCTACCGGTATTGAAAGCCACCTAAATACACTTTTTTCATTTTAAAATTTAAAGGAACTAATGTTAATACTTATTGTATTATTTCAAATGCTAGCGCGAAAATTTCTTAGTTTGATCATTATGGCTATACAGGCATCTATACAACTTCATTCGATTTTTTTCTCAGGTAAAATAGCACAAACAGTATCATTCAGCAAACGCGCCCGTCAATGATCCACCATCAGATTGTTCAAGTGTCCGATTTAAATGTCTCCTCCCCTTGATTTAAATAAACGAAACTCAAATAGGTTCGGTACGACTTTTCCGGATTTGGGGTATCTATAGGCATTTAAAAATCTTCATTTGTTTCAAATCCGTGCTGATTTAGGTGATGTTTAACGTTATTTTAATTAGAAATATCCACTTGTGTTTAACTATTACCAAAAGAGAACAATTTGGTAATATATTCTAAAGTAATACGGCACTGAAAAGGGCCCATTAAGCATTGCTTAAGTGCACTTGTCCTTAGTCAAATTGCTGGAACTTTGTAACTAACTTTAAATATAACGCCTGTTTACAAAAGTTTCCTGAATTCCAAAATGACTAAATGCGAAATATTAGAAAATATTTCAACCCGTGTTTCTATTCACGAGTGTAAATTCACACGTGAATTTTTACAAATAAAATATACAATTTCCCCCGCATCGAATTGCCGGCGACGCCAATGTAGTAAAATTAAGAGGATTTTACTAATAATGTCGCCTACCTTAGTATAAGGTGAGGACGTAACACCCAGGTTTACATGATGGGTAAACACGGGTACATGCAACAAACACAAGAATAACAGGTAACGTCATATGGAGAAATGGTGTTCATTCTGCTGATTTGCATATCGGCCATTTTGGAACTATAATGGCGGCCGAATTTATAACGGTTTATATAGAGAAAATACAAAAAATGCGAATTTTTTATATCGTAACTATTTCGGATAAAGTTCTTCCGCCGAGGGTTTGATTCTTCTTAATATCTTCTACCGGAAATGACAAGATTGTTGATACCAAAGTGAAAGTTGCGACCGCCTTTTTGATTTGAAAATTCGAAGCGAGAGTATATTGTTTTAATGAAGGAAAGAGAACAGAATTGGTGTTTTTATCATTTTTTATGAGGAAATGTAAGTATTTATTACAAATTGACAGAGTCCTTCCGCCGATTAAGAGGCGCAGGAGAGAGCCTATTTTTATAAAATACATATGTTTTACTATTCCATGAGGAGTTACGACCGCCTTTTTAATTTGAAAACGGTGTCCCGAGTCGTCAGCTGTTATTCACACAAATTTCTACCCATATAACTATGACAGGGCCTTGAAGAAAAAACAAAACTAAACAGGCTTGCAGGTTTTAACATAAAAATTTAAAGAAGTGGAGTTTATTCAGTATCTTTTGAATATTAATGAGAAATAAATCACGTGGAAGCAATCTCATGAATAAATTGCACACGATTTCTCCATATATGGTGAAAAAGTAGACTGGCAGGACTCGACTGATGTGGGAAGCGTGCCGACACGGGTGGGTGGCTTTGAGGTCAGGGTGAAAGGTCATAGGGGATATATTTACATATGCAATTTCACTACATATACGATATGACGTCACATTGACAAGTGCATTGCGATCAGTGAATTGTTTATATATTGCTGTGTGGAATTTAACCAACGACAAAATACATGCAATAGTAAGTATTGATGTAGTTTAAAGCTATCCAAGAGTTTAAAATAGCGTATCATTTCATTTTGTGGTAATTTGAAGAACATGCATTTTTGTGTGATGTCATAGTAAGCATTTCCCGTGAAAATTAGGCCCCGCCTCCTTATTGCAGCCTTAACTGTGCTGTGTTATCAGTTATATAAGTGACCGACTTGTATATATAACTATTCTTTTAAATTTTATTGACTTTGATTTTTTTTTAAAGGTAAATGTTACCAAGGGTTGGTCCAAAATAATTATATATATTGCTATATCGAGAGATTTTTTATTCAATACAGGAAAGTAGAAAGTACCTACCATAATTAAGACAGACATCAATTCCTCTCTGATTGATGGACGAAAATTATATAATTTGATGGTAGTTCATAATCAAAATTATATATGTAGGAAATGTAGGAAATTGAAGTTGGTATTGTCGTTGGCACAATGTACATGTATGTGGCCTTATGTAGATTTTTATGATTGTTCGGTATATTAGTATTTGAAGGATATCTTCAAACAATGATTTAAGCAGACATGGGTTCAAGCATTTAATATTTATTGTGTTGATAATTTTCCATAGTGAAGCTACAGACGATTTACTATTTGGTCAATCCTTGTATTGGAAAAAAATATCGAAATATGCTTTTAATTTTTTTTTTTCTGTTTAATAACATTAAACAACAAAGTTTGCACCCCTTAATAGTGTTCGTTTGCGTCGTAGTTTTCAGCAGACCGTTCCACCATCTCCTCTGGATTGTAAAAATCATTTGATCGCTCCACTTCCTCGTGTAAAGACTTCATATTATTGTTGACTGGTCCCATTTCCGGAGCTTCTCTATCGAAATTGTGGACTTCCGGACCTAGTTCTGATAGTGTTCGGGTTAGAATTGTTCCATTTCGGTGTATTCCTTGGTCGGAAGGCAATGCCATATCAGGATCTTTTGTGTTAGTTTCCTCTTTAAAAAAAACATTCTGCATTATTAAAACCATTTTATTTTTTTAAAAAACTATTCCTTGCATATATCATTATTTTATAACTGATATTGAGCAGAACATTTAAATTATAATGCCCATCTATAACATATGTGACCTTTTATCCTGACATTTATATAGTACGTAAAATATACATACCAGTGTTACGAATGGCCCGGAAGCACCCTTTACCGTCCCAGTGTATGATGCTGTAACTTCCAGAAGATTCCGCGCAGTAAGCTCCATAATGACAGTTCCCCCTCTTACCAGACAATTCTGGGATGTCTCCGGGAGGGTAAATCTTCCCATTGTATTCACATCCAGCTGGTATGGGTGGGGTTATCATTAACGTGAACCTTTTCATTACATGTTCTTGGTCAGTAGGTGCTGGCAGCATGGTGCTTAGCTCTCTTACCATTGCAGAACGGACATCTCTAGCTATGCCATCTCTTTTATTTTCATCTGAAATCATTTGATTATTCGAGAATCCATGCTTTTAATAAGTAAAATCAGTGATTGACAAAGATTTGAAACTTAGGTTCTTGATATTAAATAGAAAAACGTTATTTCAATCAAAGGCATCATCAATCTTGCAGAATCATTGCTTTGCACCTAAATTCACCAATAAGAACAAAAACTCTATTGTGACTTTTTAAAATAATTTTGCATGGACGTCCCATTGAATCGTAGCTGAGTTATTTGCAGAGAGATTAGTATAGGAATCGAATTGGTTACAGTTCCTTTGTTATATGAAGTACCTCTCAAAATATATTTGTATAAAACCTTTCAATTCTAATCGTCGTTGCCTTTTCATTTGAAGTAATTTTCTGTTAAACTATCATGATGATTTTTTTTTGTTTCATACTCATACATTTTATATGTTTAATTTTCAGAATCATTTCTATTCAAAGAAACTTAATTCCTACTTGGCAAACACGAATAATCAAAGAGACATCAATCCAAAACACGGCAAAATTCATATTTATTTCAGACACTTTTAATACGACTACAGATATTTTTATACACATTTTTATACTACAGATAAATTTAAATAAGATTTCCATTTAGAGAGTACTCATGTTTTCAAATAGAAGTATTGCGGGATGAACAATTAGCTTAAGTATATCAGGGATCGAAATGCTGTAAAAACCGAAATTTCTTTTTGAATCAATGTTCCAAATTAGCTACATACCTTTAACTCCCAGTGAATATAGGAACCGGTGATCTCTCTGTCGAACCACCGCCGCCCGACAAACCAGGAACAATAGAACTGCTAAGAAAACCTTGATTGCCATCAGGAAAACTGTTACTGCTGATACAGTTCTCAGGAATATATATTTTATATTGACTCTAAAATCTATTTTGTGTACAATGTACCCATGATAGGTGTGTGCTGGTATGACGTACTATGAAATAATTTAACATCGAATTCCTTTACAAGGGGGCGTTTCAAAACATACACACCGTCAGTAATTTAGGATTTCACAGCCTGTTCACTACAGTTTAAACTGTTATGAAAAAATGATTTTTCGATAAATTGCTTTGGCAAAACGATTTTTAGAAATTCTGAAGCTCAAGTAATATAAGTTAATTAAAATAGTGTCGTTCGACAATCAATTTAAAAATGAATAAACTTCTCAAATAATTCATGCAATGACTTAATTAAATATTTCAAATAAAGGATGGTTGCACTTAACGCCTGTTTTTGGGTCTTTTTCGGTTTCTTCTGTTGCTTCTACATGTAAACCTTGTTTCACATTTGTATGTTTATGAAAGAATCCTGTCAATTTGGAACCAAATTTTAATCTTAAAATGATTTTAGACTGTGATACAATAAAATGATTCAATGTTTTTTGTCCTTACTGCTTTCCAAATATAGTGAATTTACACTTACCTGCCCTTGATTGAACATTAGCTATGCATGAGAGGTGGAGCTAACATTGTAAGAATGGGTCTAAAATTAGACTTGATAAATAAAAATGACATGTTTGGAAAAAAGAACGTGATCACTCTTTCCAATCTCCCTCTCCATTCTGTATGGGCGCATGTTTGTCTATTAATCTCCTTTTGACACATTATTATTTATGCAAATATACAACTACTGTTAAACGTAGAACAATAGACAAACATGCGCTGACTATGTATAAAGTCAGTAAAAAAGTGGGCGTCCTCATTATCGAACGGAGATTCAAGAAATTGTGATGACCCCTGCCTTTGAAAACAGATTCGAACTTCGTAAATACACACTTTTATTAAACGTAATTACATAAGGTTGTAGATTGGATGTTGACCATTCTTACATTGAAAAGAAAAATGCTTGTTTTGAAAGTTTATTTTGTCGCAAATTTCGAATGTCCTTAAGTGCAGTCATCCTTTTGATAACATTTGTTAGGACACTACGGAGTACTCCGATTACCTGATCTGATCAACACTTAGGGCTAAAGGCGTGTGTGATCGGTCAACAGGGGATGCTTCCTTCTCCTAGGCACCTGATCCCACGTCTGGTGTTTCCAGGGTTCCTTGTTTTGTCCTGTTCACGATTCGTTTTGTTTACTGGATTCACGAGATTGATCAGTATTCGTTATCTTCACTTTTTACATACTTATCTTTTCAGTTTACCCATATCAAAATACAAAAATAAATAATAATAATATGACCATTGATTTTTTTTTTTATATTTTGACAAGATACATGTACGCTCGAAATCAACGACTTTCTTTAGTAATATAAATTAATGGGATATAACTCATTGAAGTTAATTCTGTTTATGAAAGCTAAATAGTGTTAGGGAATTTTTACTTTTTTTCCAGTTTTAGCCACCCCAGCTCATTTGCAGGTCGACCTGCATTATTCCTCGCACTCAACACATAAATTTCACCCATCCAACCCTCCATCAAAATATTGTATTACCTTGATACATTTTTAATTTTTTTAATATGGTAGGCGGTAAGAATAGAGCAATATTTTTGTCGGTTTTTTTTTTTTTTTTTTTTTTTTTTTTTGCTTTGTTTCGTGTATTTTTCAGATTGAAATCCTACCATGAGAGCCATCCCTCTCTGTCAAGGCTCCTGGGGCTCGTAACATAAAGCTTGCTAAGATTTTGACTTAAGTAGGGTCATATGTATGTTTTAGGTGCAATCTTAGGACCTGCCTAAATACTACTTAAGTACATCTTAAACCGTAACATAAAACGAATTAAGCCAGGTCTTAGCTAAGTCAAAGTTACGTTCAAAATATATCTTATGAATCACCCTAGTTTTTCACTTTATTTACATATATTGCTAAAAAATGATTAATTAAGGTTTTGAATTAAATAGATATTAAATTTTACATCCTCACTTACCGATTTTAGTAACTTAGATTAGATTTCGTATTAAATATATAATTCTGTTAAAAATTATCACAAAGTTGCAATAGTGGTTCAATGTAAATGAATGAGTTTTGTTTATCACTCGAGACTGCTATGTTTTCAATTTACCTTTTGTTGTTTCTTTCCTTTTGAAAAATGTTCACTCGCCTTGTCATTGTCGCAGACCTGGCACGATAACCGAACGTCTATCTACCTGAAATCAAAATTCTGTTAAAGAAGTGAAAACAATAGAGACATTTTGGAATTTTTCCCCACGATGTATCAGCGAATGTCAGCAAGGAAAGACTGTAGACGTTTTATATTTAAACACTTAAATATTACTTATTTTCAATTTAATCAAAAATCGAAGAGAATTGATTTCAGAAGATACTCTTTCTCTTTCGTATGTCCTAATTTTTCAACATCTCTCTCTCTCTCTCTCTCTCTCTCTCTCTCTCTCTCTCTCTGAAACCACATTTGTCGGTTCTACATTGAATCCAATTTACAAGCACTCTTGATTAGCATTCTTGTCATCATCTTCTAACTCATCAATAATTTCTTTGTGTTTTAGAGTGTAGTTCATCTCACATTTTCAAAGCGAACATACAATTTCATGATTTCCTTTGTCCAAGTTACATATAGTAAGTAGTGTTTATATCCTATTTGATTTTTTAAAAGTATCCCAAAAATATAATTTTTCATGGACATAATTATGCCATGCTGAGAGTGATACTGGAATCGGTGATCAATAAGTCTGTTTTTAACACACACCCCCACCTCCCGCAAAAAAATCTCAAATTCACACACCAGTATTACGCAGCGATAAATTATTTCTTTAATGCATAATATGAAAAGAAGAATGTTTTAACGTCGATCGAGATTCAACACCAAAATTTTATTTCATATATACCTTTAAGACATCCATGATAAGTAGTGGTTTCAGCATTAAAAGGCCAATATTAGCTCTTAATTATTTAACAAGAATTTTTTTCCCCTATTTTTCATGGAAAATGAAAAAAAATGTTTTATTAGCTAAAAAGATGCTTTAGGGTTAAAAATTGATCGGGATTGGTCCAAATATTAAAATAATTATTTTCCCCTAAAATTTCTCAATTTCATTTCGATTTCTTTTTAAAATATGATTGACTAACATATTCTCCCTAATTATGACTAGTTTTTATAAAGCTTTTAATTATAGGTTAAAAAAATAATCACAAATTATGTGTTTTATTTCCATATCTTTGCTTTAATTTGTAGTTTTATCCTATTTAAAACGTTTTACAAATACTTATCTCCTCGTCTGTTAATGATTTGAAGCACAGTAAGGCCCCGGGCTTCGATAAAATTCTAAATGAGCATATAAGAACAACCTTACCAAACCTTTTACCAATTTATGAAAATTTTTTTAATCTTATTTTCGAAACTGGTATTGTACCAGAAAATTGGTTAATTGGTATTCTGAAACCAATCTACAAAAATAAGGGTGACCCAACCCATCCTGAGAATTATCGCCCGATTACCCTTTTAAGCTGTCTGGGTAAACTTTTTACGAGAATCTTAAGTAATCGACTAGAGAATTATGCAGAAGATGTCACACTCATTAAAGAAAGCCAGACTGGGTTCAGAAAAGGTTACTCTACTTTGGACAATATCCTATTATTACAATTCTTATCACAGACACTAATTAACAGCAGAAGAAAATTGTTTTGTGCATTTATAGATTTCAAACAAGCATTTGATACAGTATGGCGAGATGGACTTTGGTGTAAACTTTTCAGAAGTGGGGTGAACGGTAAATGTTTTACTTTTATTAGAAATATGTATAATGGTATCAAATCTAAAATACAGATGAATGGTGTGTCATCAGAATTTTTTAACTGTAATATTGGTGTACGACAAGGGGAAAACTTATCGCCCTTCTTATTCTCATTGTATATTAATGACTTGGAAGATTTTTTGATAGAAAAGAATATTGTCGGTTTGTCTAGCATTAGCAAAGGTATAGAGGATGAGCTGTTTTTGTTTATGAAATTGTTTATCTTATTTTATGCCGACGATACTGTAATACTTGCGGAAACTGCTGAAGATCTTCAAAGAGCATTAAATGAATTTTACGTATATTGTGAAAAATGGAAATTGTGTGTGAATATTAAGAAAACAAAGATACTTATTTTCTCAAAGGGTAGACAACCAAAAAATATTTTACATATAACGGCAGTGTCATAGAAGTAGTCAAAGATTTTAATTATTTGGGGATTGTATTTTCTCGTACAGGCTCATTATGTAAAGCAAGAAAACACCTATGTGAACAAGCACAAAAGGCAATGTATGGTGTGATACGTAAAATTAGACAATTTAATCTACCCTTCGAATGTCAATTGGATCTGTTTGATAAAGTAGTTTTACCAGTATTGTTATATGGCTGTGAAATATGGGGTTATGAAAATATTGATATTATTGAACGAGTACATTTACGTTTTCTGAAACATATATTGAATTTAAAAAGTACCACTCCAAGTAATATGATTTATGGAGAAACTGGACGGTTTCCATTATAAATAAATATTTACTCAAGAATGGTAAAATATTGGGCAAAACTTGTGTATGGGAAAGAAAACAAATTGTGCAGAATTGTATATATGTACTTACGTAAACAATATGATAAAGGAGAAATGATAAACTCCTGGATTTCATTTGTACAAAATATTTTTGACAGATGTGGTTTATCAAATATATGGTATGAGCAATATTTCTATAATGTAGAATGGATAACTGCTACAGTCAAACAAAGATTAAAAGATCAATATATTCAAAAGTGGAATAGTGAAGTTCAAGAATCTTCAAAAAGTTTAAATTATAGAATTTTTAAAACCAATTTTGAGTGCGAAAATTATTTAACACTGTTATCATGTAAATTTAGAAAAACTTTAGTTAAATTTAGAACCACAAACCA